GAACAGATGAGGCTGGCTGTTCCGGCCCATGAGGATCTACTGCCTCAGAAACCTTACAGAGCAGATCTAATCTGCCCGCTAGTGTCTCCGTGAGCCAGAATGACCCACCTCCGACCCCCACCCCGACCCCCTCGACGGGCCGTGGGTCCTGCAGGTGCTGTGATAAAGTGTTTGGCTTCCAACGGAAAGGTCAGCGGGCCTTTCCAACCCACTGCCTCCCGGTGGGGTGGGGGTGGGGGTGAGGGCGGGGACATCCTGAAGACAGGCTCTAGGACTCGTGACTGTTGCAGGGTCCATGCGCGGAGACACCAGGGGAAGGACACATGTGTGGAGAGGGGCAGAATGCAGGGTGGATTTCTTGCTCTTGCAAAGCACGGCTCCAGCGAAGGCCCTGTTGATACTCCAGCGAAGGCCCTGTTGATACAAGACTAACTGGTGCTAGATGAGCCTTCAGGTTAAAAAACACGGGGGGTCGCTATGTTAGCCTTCCCCCTACATCCGTTTGGAGGCACGCCTATACCCTGAGATACAAAACACTTGGAGGTAAAAGGGGAGAGCAGTTGCCACCCGGGGCGCCGCGTTCTGGAAGGGCAGGTGTTCCCCAGCAGGGGCACCGGTCATGCTGGAACATAGATGCCCGGAGGATCCTTCCCCTGATGCACACTTGAAATGTGGGGAGTGCAATCGAGAGACTGAATTTCTACTTTGAATTAACTTGAACTTCCATTCCTTGCGTGGGTCTTGCAGCCAACCGGGACGGCACAGTGTATGTCACTTGGCCGGTGGATGGCCTTGGGGGCCTGAGGAACCTTACATAAATAACTGTACAGATGTGTGTAGCATTGGATCGGGGCTTCTCTTTGAAACCAGGCCACCACAAAGAATCAGGAAGTCTTCTGCGGAGCATTGGAGAAAAGCAAGGAGGTATGCCCTCTTTTCACCACTGCCGCTTCTCCTTTCTTGTGTTTCAGGCACAGGTGACTCCCCCAGCGATGGCTGTGGCCCTGAGCTGTGCACTCCAGGCCTCGGCGAACAATGACTCCGCGTCCAAAGAGTATGACTCTGACTGTGAAGTCTTCAGGCAGCGCTTCAGGCAGTTCGTGTACCACCCCAAGGCCGGGCCCCGTGAGGCTTTCCACAACCTGTGGGAGCTTTGCAGTCAGTGGTTGAAGCCAGACGTGCGTTCGAAGGAGGAGATCTTGGAGCAGCTAGTGTGGGAGCAGTTCCTAATGGTGCTGCCCCCTGAGATTCAGACCTGGGTGAAGCTCTACCGCCCAGAGAAAAAAGAAAGAGTTCTGGCTCTGGTGGAAAAACTCCAGACGCTACTAGACACTCCAGAGGAGCAGGTGAGAAATGAACCTGGGGTCTCGGTTACTAGGCCAACTGGGACTGCGGAGGCAGCTGGCACCCACTGTCGTAACCTCACGTTCTTTGATTGATTGCTTTACTTTGTCTGGTGCTGGACTCATCCTAGGAGTCAGGGCTTCTCTTCTCTCAAACGCAGAACCCCAGTGATGGCTAATTGGGGGTTAGCTCCCGTTCACCAACCTACGGTGTCATTCAGAGCTATTGTAAACCCCTACCCTGACGCCAAAATTTAAGGACTGATGATGATCGTGTACGTCATTGTTTTGGCGCCCGAATTCCACGCGTGGACTAATGTTGTTGCATAAGCGTGAACTGGTATGGCGGTGAGTTTTGTTTGTTTCGTGGTTTATGCTGTGTAATGGTTTGAGCATGAATTAGTAATGGCCTTTTGAATGGGCTACTTATTTTTAAGCCACATATATTTGACCGACCTAACGTGGCTCACAAACACGAAAGCATTACCTGTCTTCCGCTTTCCACTAAAAAATGAAAAAGAAAAAGAAAAAAATCTTGGCCACCCCTGATTCCACTAGAGTCTCACTGGAATCCAAGGCAACCGATGCAGGAAAGACTGTATCATGTCCTGGTGGTATCTCAGAGACCCTGGTCTAGCAGCAGGGTCAGCGGTTCATGTCCCTCTGCCACCCCGCCCCCAGCTTCTCAGAAACCCCAGGCAGTCGTTGTACTCTGTCCTGTTGCTTCGCTGTGAGTCAGGATCAACTGGATGACAGCGGCGATGTTATCTCTGTGAGAGGGAACTGACCCGGCCGCCACCACCATCAAGCTGTCTTTCAGTATATACCTTTGGGGCCTGTCTGTGCCTTAAGGGCTGGGGGCGTCCTCGGACGGCCTCCTCTCTGCCTAGAATCATTGTGAAAGGGACAACCGGACATCCAGGCTGGTAGAGCTCAAAGAGCGCTGCTGTTGGCCATGCGATTTCCCAGACAGCCCCCTCTAGCCGTCTCAGCAAAAAACGGTAAGGTATCCCTCCTTTGAGTTTCACGGTAGTACAGTCCTAGAAAATTCAAGTTATGCGGTAACAGACCACACACACACACACCCCAGCAGACTCATTTCCCTGGCTATGGTGGTGACTCACAAGAATCCTGTTGACCTGGCCCACTGGAGGTGTTAAACTGCTGACGTGGCAGTTAGCAGCCCAGTGCATAACCAGCCCGCCACCAGGGTTCCTTAATACCAGACAACTTCTTCTTATCTCTGTGGATGTCTCAGGGGAACCGCTTAAAGTTGTTTGGGACGTGGCACAGTTCTGCCTTAAGAACATCATGCTCAACTGTGCCTTCACGGAAGATTCCAGCAGCTACCACCTGCCACCCCATACACCCTGCCTCGGAGGGCTGGGGCTGGCACTGTCCTCTGCCGAGAGCCCCTCTGTGAAACCTCTGCCTGGGGGG